AAAAAAGAAGAATCCAGTTTAATCAAGTCATTTATTGTTGAGAGAACTAAAAAAAAGAAACTTGTGTAAATTTTACAAGAAAAATATTTCAAATTGTTTCTCAACTGTAACTTGAGAAGAAAAAAAAAACAAACTCTGACATTAAATCCAACAGAAACATTACCTCTATGTTTCATTTACCCCACAGTGGCCCTAATTAATACAGCATCATATAACGTGGTTGTCACATGAATTAAAAGTATTTTGTCCCCTCTGACTGTCCGTACTCTGATGACAGACCAGCATGGCACAAATGCTGTACAAAAAAAAAACAACATAACAGAATTCATTTTTAGTCGGACCAAACAATAACGTGCTACGATTCTCACAATGTGTGCTACAGTATCAAAATCTTACAAAAAGTTCATTAAACATTTCTCCACTAACGTCCTCGTCTATCATCATAACTGCTCCTAACGTTGGCTGACTGCGACATACAGTACAGTGGCTGGACTCTCAGAACGGTTTATAAAATATAAAACACACACACACGACCTCTCTAAGTGTTTAAACATGACATCACAGCTACGTCTTCAACGGGAGATTTGTCCTGGTCAACGTTCAGAGCATAAAAAATAACAACATGGCAGAATCTCTGATGAAACCTCTGAAGTGCTTCATCCAATGATAAATCCAAGTATTTCCTCTTGTGTGCTTGTTAGTAACGTACAGAGTCGAGGATCAGCGGATGATCCTAATCTGAAATCTGGTCTAACAGGAGACTGGTACAGACGTCTGAAACCTCAGAGACCACTTAAGGAGGAAATAAGACACAAAGGAGAGTCATGGCGACGTCAGTAATGATCTCAGTTTTCACTTTAAACGTTGCGAGCTGCATCATGAAGCATCTTAATCAAGACCGACAAACTGAAGATGGATTACAAAGACTGGTACTCCATGTTCATGAGACAAGATGTCTGCTTCTCTCGAGCATCACGAGGAAATAAAAGGATGATAATACGTGTGGTGCTTGTTTTCAGAGTTCTGCCTTATGTAGTCCGTTCCTTTTATTGGACAGCACTCATTACTTTAAACGCCTTTTTTTACAAAGAGATTCTGCAGCTTTGTAAAAATAAAGGAGATTCACCTCGATCGAGTGGGAGGGGGTGGTGACCTTTATTCTCTAAGATCAGTAACGATAATAGACCTTATGCATGTGACCGCTACTTTAGCTGAGTCCGTTACTATGGTAACTGAGTCTGTGAACCTAACCTGGTATAAAGCAGGTTTTGAACCCCGGGTTTCCCCCGGGTGGTGCTTATTGTTACTTCACCTGTAGGAATAGCGGGGCGTCTGGTTTGAACACTTACTTCAGGTCACAGCTAATGAACCAACTCTACAGATCGACTAGAAGCTGATTGTAGTTCACGACTGATTCTTCGTCTGGGCCACAGAAGTCGGTTAGCCATCAATGATGAAAGAAAGACTCAAAGAAACAGACAAATCCTTTTTTCTATCGAATGAATGCACTTTTTTTTTAGCTGCCTCGTTTTGACACAGAGCAAAGCAGATACAACAGTTTGTCAGTCTCACGTTTCGTCATTTCTTTGAGCTTATCTGAGACTTGATGAAACCACAAAAATATCTGCTGAGGGCAGCGACACTCGAGTCTGTTGGCTAGTGTGATGAAAATACTTTTTAAATCAGACGCTGGTACAAAAATAAACCAAAGACCTCATGTTCAACACTTTCAACCCAGTTTGCCTCGCACCTTCACACCAACTCAAGTCTCTACATCGAGTCTCAACACACCTTTAGACTCCAAGGCAGAGTGGTTCAGCTGCTCCTTTGAGGCTTGATTATTCAAACATGAAGCTCCTCTTTCAGCTTTGAGAGCCACACTTAAATGTAGTTCTTTTGGACACAAAGTTACCAGATGTATCGGTCTCTGCTGCAGTCAAAGAAAAGAAGTCGGGTACATTGTTGTGCTTTTCTCTCTGCAGCAGCGCCCTCTGCTGGTGTGTCTCAGTCTGAATGCAGACCTTGCCGTACCTCATGCTCCCCCGCTGTGATTCCCTGAGTGGCTCCTGTGCAGTCTGCTCTCAGTACATGGCCTCAGTGTCTCTCAGGCTTCCAAAGGACAAACTAAAAGTGCTTCCTAATCTCCTTGTGAGCCCGCTACCTTCCCTCTTCTTCTTCCTGTTCCAGTTCAACAAGGAGGCGGAGCTCTGGCCCTTAGCTGCTCCGAGCAGACGCTGCTGCCGTGTGTTTTCTTTATCACTGCCGAGGGAGAGCATAATGGTCCTCTTGTCCACCTGCTGACACACACACACACACACACACACACACACACACACACACACACACACACACACACACACACACACACACACACACACACACACACACACACACACACACACACACACACACACAGGTAAACATCATGTTAGCTACAAAACCAAGAACAGACCGAGCTGTCAAACACACTCACTGCACCTTACCTGTGTGTCATGTGAGTGTAGTGTGATCACGCTGAGCTCCACTCCTCTGTCAGTACAGCTCTTCAGCATTTGGACCACCTCGCCGTGTTTGGACCATTTACAGTCCTCCCCGTCTACTGCTACGATGTAGTCTCCCTCCCTCAGTCCAGCCTCCTGCACAAACAGGAAAGGAGTCAAATCTAATGAGAACAGCTTTGCTAATTGATGTGTATAAATCTGATAGAGGAGGTTTGTCTCACTGCTGCACAGCCGCCAGGCACCACTCCAGCCACCAGGACAGGGGAGTCTCCTCTGAGCGTCAGACCCAGTCCTCCCTCTCCCCGCTGCAGGCAGATCACACGCACTGGACCCCAACGAGCTCGTGCACAAAACACTGACAGAGGCCCCTGCAGCACAGAGAACAGTCATCTTCAACTCAACAGTCTTTGAATGATGTCTGAATTAGAGCTGTGTTTTCAGTCACTACATCACACTCCTCATACAAAGGGTCTTACCAGCCTTTGGAAGATATCAGAAACTTGGACTGTGGAGAAGTTGGGGGGAGTGATGTCTGGTTTCTGGTGTGTTTGAGCTGTCGGCAGAAGAAAACACGATCTCTTAAATGAACAAAAACACACATGATTATCTTATCGATATGTCTTAAAGCAGATTCTGTACTTACACTGTATCTCTGGAGCCTCTGCGGTTTCGTCAAAGTCGTCCTCCCTGTCCAGCTCGGAGTATTTGTCCAAAGAGCGTTTGTGTGTGAGACAGAGCACGTCCTGCAGGATGTCCATCTTCCTCAGGATCTTACATAGACTGTGGACACGCATGGCCTCCTCGTGTCTGATGACCGCACGCCGCAGGTGAGCTTTACCTGCAAACATGTTGAGTAAAAACAAACATAAGTCTCCACTGCTGTGCATTTTGACTGGATACAAAACATATCCCTTCAACACAGGAACTCACCAAGCTTTCTGCTTTTTTCAGGATCCTGTAAAACCTGGATGAGTGTCGGTTCTGCAGGAACGTTGACGTAGAACTGGAGGAAAGCCTTCTCTGCTTCTTCATCACTGCCGTCCTCTGCAGACACTAGAGGACAAGACACAACAAGGTAATCTGTGTAGACACAAGTCTCTCTAACTTTAACAGATTTATTGAATCTGAAGAGGAACTATTTTCACTGCTAGTTATTGTAAACAGTAGAGGAGTTAGAGGTTAGTCCCAACATTGATTATCAAGAAGTGTTTTTGTCCCTCATTATTTATATTCAAATTCATTTCTGATCTTTCTTTTACTTCTTTTATGCTCAGAGTGTTTTTTGCACATTCACACTATGTCATGCTGCCCAAACAGAAACTGTTTAAGTTCAACTTCATATAACTTGAACAGTGTGAAGAATGAAATGAAAAGCTGTGAGTGTGACTTACATGTGTGCTCGCAGAGTGCTACAGCAGCGTGGTAATGTGAGAGGGCTCGGAAGTGTTCTGATTTGACCTGAACCATGGACGCCCACGAGAAGGGGACATAGTCCTTCATCAGAGGCTGCGTCATGGTCTGCTGCACTAACAGGTAGACGTCTGACACCTACAGGACACGGAAACAGCATGAGAATCACAGTGAGGTCAGCAGGAATCAACACGACACAGCCAGAGGCGTGCTCACTCACCCGCGCAGCCTCTTGTGCCAGGCGGAGCTGGGAGGTGAAGTGTGTGTCCCGTGTGGTGAGTGTGATGCGCTCAAACACACACTCCTGCACCTGAGCGACCATGAGCCGGACCAGCATGCAGAGCGACGGGCAGCTCATGTCCAGACTGGGAGCGTTGGAGAAGTTCTCTTTAAGGTAATTGAATGCACCTGAAGACACAAACACACATTTCCATTATTATATTTTTCATTTGGAGCATTTATCCAGAATAACTTCTCTGATCCTTCTGATGATTTGGGGGCTTTTCTCTGTAGTACACAGTTTATTGAATATTTTCAGGGTTTTCTTCTTCTCTACTCTTCTCCTGGCCACCACTCTGTTTCCGTCTTTTCAAACTAAGATGACAAAATGACAACTAGTTGCTGCCTTAAACCCTTTTAACACAAATGATTAGTGTAACCCAGGGACCTCTGGTCATTTGTAATAATTGTCGAGGACGTCTGTGGTTTTTATTTTATCCTGTTCAAATCAATAATCTCTGTGATTTGTAAAGTAAAAACTCCATGGTATAGACTATACTTCAGCACACACAGAGCTCCTCTGATAAAAGTAATACCGTCCCAATCAGCTTTCAGTAATTTGGTGTGGTATTTTTGTTTTTAAGAACGTTAGAGGCCTTTTTTGCTAATTTCTCCCCTCATACTAATGGAGGCAGTGCTGGACTTTGTAAATGAAGGTTTGGACAGCATTCAAAGTTATTTATTCAGTTATTAATGATTTCATTTGAAGTGTACCAGATGTTGACCTCTTCTTCTTGTCATGAAAGTCTGGCAGGCTGTACGCTGTAAAGTGTGATGCTGCCCCCGGAGACAAAGTGGTTAACATGCAGCTCCTCAATGTTTTCAATCAGACGACAGTAAATAGAAGTTAATTACAGGCTTTGTTTATCCTGTGTGATTTCGCTGATGTTGGGGGGGTAATTCCTAAATGACCAGAGGTCCCCGTGTTATACTAATCCCATGCGAATAGACATCGCTTTAGCCGTGTTTTTTGGAGGGAACTTTAACTTAAAAAACGTAAATATTCATAGCAGATGAGGTAACTGTCTCAGTTGTTGTTATGTAAAAAAACACATTTTGTTCTCATCGCGACCGTGTGCTTCAACAAAACAAAGGTGGAGCAACGTTGGGGTACGTTTGTGTTTCAGTACCTGCAGCCCTCTGAAAGGCATCGATAGCTTTGTCTATGCCAGCTGTTGCAGAGCGGTCCTGCCGTGCCCCGATCTGTGTGTACAGAGCACCGATGTTGAACAACACGCTGCCTTTCTCGAAGGCCAGCGTACGCTGACACGACGGGACGCCTGTCAGAGAATCGTACCTGAAAAACAAAAACACAGGATATAAAAAGTCTTAATGCATTCTGTTTCTGTATCATTCACCCAGCCGTCAGTCACTTAAGGTAAGGTGTGTAATCAGACCAGTGGGTAAGCTATCATTCATTAAACTGAGTCTGTTTCCCTCTCTAAGTTCTTTTAAACCATAAATCTTCAATGCTTTTCATGCAGGGTCTCACACCCTCCAGGTTTTACATTATTAAGTGCTCGTCGTGTCCTACCAATGGAAGTGCACACCCAGGTTCCTGTGAAGGGGGAAGAAGCGCTGGTCCAGGTAGTACAGCTGGTTGTAGTACTCCATCAGCAGCTCCAGGCCGGCCTGGTTACGACTGGGTGTACGCATGGCCTGTTCCCAAAACGCATAAATACACGTCAGAGGACACCACAAGTTTCTGATAGGATTATTTTAGGTATTTGAAAACATTCTAAAATCCCCTTTTCTCTTCTCTAAATGAAAAACAGATCAAACTAGATCAAGCTTTGTTTTGTCTGAAGTTTTATGAGTGGGTTTATGAACCTGTCTGAGCTCCATAAGCTCTTTGACTTCCTTGTCATAGAGCGAGCTGTCCTCGCCGTAGTGCTCACAGATGAAGTCCTGTGAGGGGACAAAGAAGACACTTTAAGTATTCTCTCTAAAATAAAACACACTGCAGAGGAATTCACTGAACTGTGACCTGAGATATTAGCTCATCTTGACCATTAACAAATCAACTTTAAAGATAGAAATCACTTCATCTCAGATCTCCTTATCACTCAGTTTTCACATTAATAAAAAAATATTATTTAAGTTTTTATTCAGCGCTGAACAGAACTTATTCATGATGTTAAGTTTAAAGGCCAAAATGTGAGGAAAAGTAACTTTTTGTCACATTTTCTCACACAAGGAATGATGGGAAAAATCCAGTTTTGCAAATGCATTCTTATGCCACATGTAAGTTTATTTTATTTGCATCATTCGTTCATTTTTCTGCATTTAATTTGTTATTAGTTTTTCATGTGCACCCTCTACAGGTGTCGAGGCACAAGTCTATGAGTTAGTGTGCAGAGCGCACCCGGGAGGAGGACGGGTCACAGCGCATAGCGTCATTAATGATAGGCATTTCCATTACATGCTTTTATTCATTAGAGCCAATACATGTGTTTTTTGGTTTAAATGTATTTGCAATAAAACTACCAGCAGTTTTAAACATCAACTCTCACTGGATTTATTTTTTGGATCAAGTCTGCGTGTGTGCTGAACTCTTCCTGTTCTTTCCTAAGTAGACGGGAGAAGTTACAGGACAAACTTACATTTTTACCACTTCACTCTCAATGCATGACAAATGTGATATCTGAGAAATATAAACGCTTTACCTGGACAGAAAGGGTGAAGTCCACCTCTTTGGTTTCTTTTAATCCGAGTGGGATCATGGGAACGTTGATAGCCTCACTGTAAAAAGATGCAGCATGAAGTTAAGGTAGTTACACAGTTTTTATTATGTACTGTAAGTGAGTATTTCATAAAGTTGTTTATAGCTGGGCTCCCTGTCAAAGCGCTTAGCTAGCTACCTGCTACAAACATCTTCTTTTTTTCTTCTATTCCAATCCAGATCTAAAAATCCCACTAATCTATTTCTGTACTTTTCAACTATGCATTAAAACTGTGTGTGTGTGTGTGTGTGTGTGTGTGTGTGTGTGTGTGTGTGTGTGTGTGTGTGTGTGTGTGTGTGTGTGTGTGTGTGTGTGTGTGTGTGTGTGTGTGTGTGTGTGTGTGTGTGTGTGTGTAATTTTTCATAGAATAAAGGTAAACACAAACATGTAAACACAAACAGTTCACCGTCAGGAGTGCACTACTCTCCTATCTATTGGCCTTTAAACCTCAGTGCTTCATCCTGCTAATAAGCAAAGCTAAAGCCGAGAATTAACTTTTTAACCCCCCCCATCCACCCACATGCACCCCCACCCCACCCCATTGACAATGAAACACAAACACACACATGCCGCAGGGTCCTTAATGACAGTCTAATCAGGGATTGATCCCTCCCATGACCCGGGCGGGCAGCAAGGCCCCACACACACACACACACAGACACAGACACAGACACACACACACACACACACACACACACACACACACACACACACACACACACACACACACACACACACACACACACACACACACACACACACACACACACACACACACACACACACACACACACACACAGGTGTTTGTTCTTCCCTCTGAGTCTGCCTTCTCACCATAAACAATAGGAGAAGGAGCGAGACACCCAAGCCCTTCCAGAGAGGGGCCGTGGTCGAAGAAACTTTGCAGACATGTTTTAGGGACAGCATATATGTACAGAGTGAAATATTTGACCTTTGATACCCGCACCCCTTGGGGAGGCGTGTGCGTTGAGGGACTCTATCTTCAACTCTGGCAGAGCCTTGAAAGGTTAACCAATAGCAAAGCCCATTTGAGGGCTATGCAGAGATTCAGTTACATTTTAGATGTGCAGCTTCGTAACCACCAGCTGATACCTGCCAGATGGATACAGTGCATCCAGAGCTGCTGTTGGATCTGATATATCCAACAGCAGGAGGATTTTATGGATTATTTTGTACCCGGTAGTTAAGGCAGAAAGCGGTTGCTGTATAGGCCCCCTTGACATAAAGCGCACGTGGAAACACTGTCTTTGAATAATACTACTGAACTTCCTATATTTGATCACTATATGCACCGACACGGCTCACTTGTCAAAAATGTCCTCACTTCCAAGATCTAAAAATAACAAATTGGTCCCCACAAAGATAGAAGATCAAGAACACATACACACAGGGCTTAGTGAGAATACAGACATGACATAGACGGCTGCTTTCTCCAATTATACTTCTCATTAGACTAATGAGTGTGGACTGGAATTTTTGGAGCATAAAAAACAAAAACGGAGCAAGTGTGTGTGTGTGTGTGTGTGTGTGTGTGTGTGTGTGTGTGGTTGTGGTTGTGTGTGTGTGAGAGAGCTGTCTACCTGTCTGTCTGGTAGACCTCCATGTTGCTGTTGAGCTCCTCCAGCTCCTCTTTTAGCAGCTGCAGGTTGGAGTTGACAAAGCTGAGCTCCAGAGCGACCGTCTCCTTCACCTTGTTGTTGCTTGTTGCTCTGCAGATATTAAATCACACACACACACACACACACACAAAGTTACACATCAGTCAAGCACAATTTATTTTACATGGCAACAGAGAACTTTATTACAGACCAGATAAGTCCTGTTAACCCTAACCCTTAAAAAATTGAAATCGAATGTTGAAATCTGTGTTGACATCGGCTAGATAGCTAACTAAACAAAGTGACATAGGTTACATTATGATGTGTTCAAGGTCGGCTCAGCACCACGGTTTTGCCCCATCGGGTGTCCTGCCCCACTGGTTCCGTTTCTGGTATGTGAGCCATTAGCAGCTGTACACAGATTACAGAAGAACTACAAGATCACGCGGGAATCTGGTGGAAACTTTGTTGTTTTCCAAGCAAATGATTATAAAGTATAGACAGTGGTATTGAGTAAGACTCGGATTGTTCAGGAGTGTCGATAAGGGTTTCAATATCAATACACATTCATGATCACTACCCCTGATGACGTCATAAAGGCACTCAGGAGTGGAGTTTTCTTTTGTAAAAAGTCTGTCTTGATCCCTCCCCTATCTCCACCCCCCATCCTTCGTCTGACTCTGCTCCTCTTCATGTCTCAGAGGGGGAGGTTCTTAGCTCTGAGTAAAGCCAGCTCACACTGCTGGGGGGGAGGGGGGGGGGGTAACTGAGATTTAAAACACACAGTGTTCCTGTAAATCTGAGGCATCGCTGGGATGCTGTGGTAACTTGATGATACACTCTGTGTTGAAAATGTGCTACAAGATAAAAAACCCCTTCATTATGCAATGTTTGGATTGTGCTAGCTCAGTGAGGCAGGACAAAGCAAAGTTTGTGTGAAGAAAGAAGAAAAGGAGCGACATCATCTACTCTTGTGAGATGGGACGTACTAATAAAAAGAGACAAAGAGAGACACAACAATGTCTCCAGTTTGAGTAAAGAGAAAGATTAAAGGTCTTGATGAGTCATTTGATGTTTCAGCAGCAGGTGGGAGATCTGGGGAGTAAAGACACACATAAGGTCTCAAGGGCAGAGGGAAATCTTGGCAAGACATAGCTGTGTTAAAAAAACAAGTCAGCTAAAAATTAACACTTTACTGACTGATAAGACAACTGAGAGATGAACATGAATATGAACACCTTTCAAACATCTCGTTCACAGGTTTTTTAAGCTCATGTTAGCCTTCATGCAAAAGTTATTTGTGTCTAAGAAAAGGTGCGAAAAATGCTAATGCTATGCCAACTGGGAAAATCGGAGCCGATAACGACACTGATGTTTGTTTCAAGACTTCTTTTGGTGTAAAGGCCCTGACACACCAAGCAGACGGGAAAGAACTAGTGGTGACGAAGGCCGTCTGTAACGTCGCCTCACGATGCCTTTGTCTTGGCCAAAAAGTTACACTAGAACACACCGCAAAGACTACATCCTGCGTGTACTGCACATGTGTGAGAGGAGAGCTGGAGATATATGAAACCTCCCAACAGCCAATCAGAGAGATTCCTCTCACCAACCGCGCCGACCGACGCCAATTCAACATGTCGAATCGGCCAAAAAAAGGCAGACTGGGGCTGACGGGGCCTAAAGACTCCCACAATGCCAACATTTTCTCTCATGTTCAACAATAAGAACAAGTAAGAGTTTGTCCAATGGGTGACTTCATCTGCCCAATAACAAATCTCTTCTCTGAATCAGTAGTCAGGTGAACTAGATGCCAGTATTTCATAAATTTGGCACAACAAATTAACGCCGGCTACAGACAATGACATGCCACATTTCTTTGTCAATGTCTGTCAACAGGAACAATATCGACCGTGTCTTGTAACGGCCGATATAAGATCAGGTATTAAAATCGACTTGAGGAAAGAAAAATATTATCATAACATCTGTATGAAATTAGTAAATGATTTAAGATTAAAAGTTTGATTTATTTTGCTTCTGTCATGACCATCAGTGACCTCCGGAGAAACTCAGAGATGTGATTGTTTAATGCCTGACTCAGCACGGCTCAAACATGCTACTGAAGCTCACCTTTGAGCTCCTGGGAATAATTTTAATCTGTCCAGTTAGACCACTCTAGCTTCACTTCTCTCTTCATCTGTCCCTCCCCTCCCTTCCTTAGTCGCACACACACACCTATATCTAGGATCAAGCCAAGGGCAATGTGATTAGTCAGCTTTAAATGGGCTGCCAAATATCCCCTTCATGCACAAAGCCACTTGCACGCACACCACTCTTCAGCTTTTGAGGGGAAAATATAACTCTTTCTTCCTTTGATTATGCTCTGACATTAAGTATGAGAGAAGCTGTGAACTGTATTTATCGACCTAAAAGACACGAGTTCCAGGATTAAGTTGAGTTCCCTCTGAGAAACACAACCTGCAGCTCACATCATGACGTCTCCATCAGCCAATCACCAATCTTCCTGAGTTACTTGTCAGTAATTAGCATCTTAACCTCCCCCTTACCCCCGTCCACTTCACACCCACTGTCACTCATACCACGACCCAGTTCTACAACAGTTTCAGAGTGACTGAAGTGAAAATGAAAGCAAGAACCTTTGTGTGTGTGTGTGTGTGTGTGTGTGTGTGTGTGTGTGTGTGTGTGTGTGTGTGTGTGTGTGTGTGTGTGTGTGTGTGTGTGTGTGTGTGTGGACTATTCCAGTTGACCGGAAAGGGGGAGGATAGAAGAAACAAAAAAAAAGGTCTGACGGTGCCAGACAAATAAGTGGGGGATGAGCTTGCTCTGTTGGGAATCTCTGCATGGGAACAGGACGGGAGGCGGACACAAAGCCGGCTGATTACAGGCCGGCGGGCTGTGTAGGGGTCCTCTTTGTCTCTGTGACCCATCGTCCCAATAGAAAAGGCAGGAGCGCTTGTTTTATTTCCCCTGAACTGAGTCATCAGCTTTTACAACAACAGGCTGGATCCTGTCTAAAGTGGAGTTTGAAGAGAAAGAAAGAAAAATAAACCTGAATGACTAATAAGAACGAGAAGTTTTGGAAGATCTCCAGTTGACTGATTCAGAAGGCGACGTCTGTGAGACAGGCTCTAATGGCTGCAATATAATCTAAAGGCAAAAATGTGTCTCATGAGGAACGCCTACTGAAAGTTTTATTCCCGCCACAGACAAGCTCACATTGTTAATCTTAGTATCTGAAAACACAGAGAGGATCCGTAACATCAACCTCTTAAAGCCCACCAGACTCCACTGCCAATGGTGAGTCTCACTTTTACCATAAGAAATAACAAAGTTCAAACAAACATAAACAAACTGACAGAAGCAGAAGTGGACCAACAACTTTTATATTTTGAATGTAGATTTGCTGCTTTAGACAACGGAGTGTGGAGGCTCAGAGGAGATCAATGTAACCCCTGTTTCTGGTTTTAAAAAGAGCATCTTAAACCGGGTGTACACTGTCTGATTTCAGCCCAACTTGGACTTGATTCTTGGGTCGTACGTCTTCGGTCATGAGGCAGAGCTGAGCCCGGCCTGATCAGCTGCTCCCGACAGGTCGGATGGATTTTTGTTCATACTACTGCATAAAATTAGCACACTGACAATGGAGCCACAAGCCGAGACCCTGAATCCAGGACTCCCCCCCGCCACCCTTGATTTTACCTGCACAAACTGACAGGCAGCGTCTGAAATCACCATGGCAACAGAAGGCATGCTTGTTTAATGTGTCTTCCTCATCTGATCATGACAGACACTTAGGCAGGAAATATCTGCAGACTATTATGATTTAGCTTCTAGTTGGCTTGTGTTTAACGGTGATGCAGATTGTGTGTGAGAGAGAGTGAGGGCGTTTTTTGCAGACGTGTGTATTTGAGCCGTGCATTATTTAAGACAGACAACTGAACACAGGTTGAACTTTTGTAAAGTAAGGGTTTTGGGGCCTTTTACACAGATTTTAAGATGTTAGATTGAACTCTTTGAATTAATTGTATGGGGGGTATTTTTCACTTTTCCTGTAGATGTAAAGAATAAAGTAAAACATCAAATAAATTACAGTGATAATCATTGTAAGTGCTTATAATATGTAATATCCATCCATCCTATAATGTGAAATCTTATCAGCTGCAGCAGAGCAGGTCCTGGGATAGTACTGAGGGGTGCTCTTAGTGTCCTTTAATTAAACACGCTGTTGTTTTCTGTGTTGATCTAATTAGATTCTGACACGACGCCACAGAGGAGGAAGAAAGCAGCTCCCTGGTTTAATGAAGTTACTCCTCCTTCTCCTCCTCCGCCTCGTACTCCCAAGATGAATCTTTATGAGTTAAAGGAACGGCAGCAGATTCACTGCAAGGGAGTTTGACACAGTGGTCTATTCATGTTTCAAATGTTCTCAAAGCCACCACAACAAAAGTGTAGACCTAATGTATGCACATATATTAAACGTGAACTTGAAGCCTGTGTAATAAGCTACTTCTGAGGGAGTGAGAAACATGAAGAGTCTGAAAACTTGAGGAGAGAGAGAGGGAGAGAGAGAGGAAGAGAGAGAAAGTAAAGGCACAGAGAGATGAAGGGAAACTGGAGGGGATAAAGATGATGCTAATGTTCTCAGAGAGAATACTTTGAAGTTCTGCCACCATTTCTTTTATTTTTTTCCACCTCATTTCTTCACCAATAAAACTCATGTGTGCTGCTGTGTGAATGGACGTTTTCAAACTCAAGCCAGGCAGCCTAACTTGGACTTGTTGTTGTAAAAGTATCCTGTGGTCAGTTACTGTTTTGTACAGAAATTAGGGAGAGGAAACAGGAGAAACAGACATGTTAAGAGAGGACACCCGAGCAGAGGGACTAATACATGTGTGTTCACACAAGCAGAGCAATTAAAGTGGGGAGGTGATGCTGTGTGTGTAGTTTGGAGGGCAGCGATCTCTGACCTTTTCCCATCACAGGACACCAAAACAAATGTGACAGAGCCAGCAGGCTGACAAAGAAAAACCAACACAGAAGAGACCAGAGAAGCATTCATCATCTAAAAGACTTCCCTAAAAGTCAAAAAATACCATCAAATCTGGAATATAAGTCGCACCGGTATATAAGGTCTGTTTTGTGGGGGTCTCCTGGGGGGAAAAACGTAAAATGTCTTCCTGCCTGATGATTTCTATTGCATTCAGCAAAGTCCACAATGTGCAGTTTCTGTGCAGCTGTGCCGCTCTTTTAGTCCCGTCTTATTTTGCTTTGTAGATTTGCACTCCTACTAGCTACAGTACAGTAGTTGAGCTCCCAACCTACAGTGAAAGTTCGGAAGTACAGACCCCACAGCCTGCGAGTGGTGGTTCCCACCTCCACTGGTCACTTGTTGACTGTGAATGAGCCAATCAAAAGAGCACTACACAAGGTGTATTTACCAAACAGTCTACCACCGTTTTTGTTTAAATGCAGGCTAATGACTAAATTTATTCAGCACCATCTGCAGACTTATCCTAGGATTACTCCAACATACATTTACTTCAGGATCTGAAACTTTGCCCACGTTTACCCTTAAATCCGGGTTTTTTTTTCAGAATCAAAGCCTCTGTTTTGACGGTTCAGAACCGAAAGAGTCCTTATGGGTGTTTGTTGATGTGTTTAAGGGTTTTATGAGATTTTATACAACATACATTGTATTATCTTGTGCTGTCGCGAGAGAATCTGTATAATAAACGAGGGAAGTCCTTTGTCTGTCCAGCTGAGCTCTCTGTGCGCAGCCTGTGGGTGTTGACGGACGAGGGCGCATGGAGCTGTAACAGATCGGAGCCAACACACAAGGTCTAGGTGCCTAAACAGGTGAAACTCAGACCATGTCCATGTCTAGCACAGCTATTAAAGCCTAACTTGGACTTCACCAAACATTGTTCCGAACACCACAAACATCATGCTCATGACCCTGCAACTCACCTGAACAGGTTCTCTGCCCCGGCTCTCATGCGCATCTCTTTGTTGATCTGCTGGTTGATGCGAGCTCGTCGGTGCTGTAGTTTACTGCGCTGAGTCTGAGCGAAAGGGTCGCATCCCTATACAGAAAATAAAGAACACAAAATATATGAATGAAAGCAGCAAATCTGGCTACTGAAAGAGCTAGTGGATCGAATTCCACTTCTACTTTAACTGTTTTCTGATATATTTAATGTTTTTGCAGAGGAAGAATACAAATAATCACCCGATGACCGTCCTCACTCACAACTCGTGATATCTTCAAAATGTGTCGCCTTTTGAATTGTTTGATTTAGAAAGTGTAGATTACAAATGACAAGCTATGGCCTAGTTATATTTCAATCTTCCTGCCTCACAGAGCGATAGCATTAAAGAGCTGAGGATTAATAAAGGAATCCCCCATGTTGGTGAAATTACAGCCAGGTTTACTGAGGTTCTCCCAGACGGCTGCAGATTGAAAAGACAATCAGAGGATCAGTTCAAGTTAATTAGAGAGATAAAACGTGACTCTCAAACAGGTACTATGACACGGTGAATTTACTTGGTCTAGTCTGGGTACTTATATGAAGAATGTGAAACTCTTTGATCTTGTAGATGTCGCCCTTGAGCACCAGCTTTAAAACAAACTGCTGTTTGGCGACGGCTCCGCTAACCATATTTTAGGCAGTACCAGGCGCAGAAACTGGTGCTTGTATTGATCACAGAGCAAGTTTTCCCCCCTCTGTATCCCCTTTGGAGGTAGTAACAGAGGCGAGACGGGGGAGTGCAGCGCTGTGTGTGTGTGCATGTCTGACTGTGTGTGTATGTGGAGCATAGCCGTGCCGTGCTTCCTCAATGCCGAAAGCAATGTGAATCCACAGACCCTCATTGCAGAATCAATATGACTGTACAAAGATGTGATGATGACTGAAGTAGTTACAGCACTTTTACGAAATAAAGCAATCTGAAAAGGGCGATTGTCTTTCCCTCTTCACTCTGCTCCGCCTCTCTCCCTCCCTGAGCAAAAACTGAAAAACCACCTACAAAACTAAATACACACAGTTTGTACTTTGTTAAGCAAGAAAGGAATATTTTCTTAGTTCTGTTATATTTAAGGAGCTGCCCACAGCGGGGGCCACAGTAACTTTGTATGTACATGTTGACATTTTGCCCATGTGGATTTAACTCAGAACGGACTTTGTTTTTGTTATTTCATTACAAAAACAAATGTTGAGATATGAATCTTGGTCCTTATCGCTCAGTCCTACGTGTGAGCAATGCCAAAATTGCTCCTCTTGCAAAATACCTCGGCTTTATCGCTCAATATAGCACGTACTGAGGAATTAACCATGACACTGCTTGAACATCTTAATAAAACGTGGAAGAAATTCCCTTTAATCCCTACTCAGAAACCCATAGCATTTTAATAGTACATCTCATTGGTGGCCTTACACTTCACCCTGGACAGAGAGCCTTCTGAGAGGCTTACTTCAGGGCACAAAGGAAAGCATGCCAAAGATGATGGGTGTGTCAAAGAGCGTGTCAGGTTGTGATGACACTGAGAGTGAAGAGGAGGAGAGTGGTGGGGATGATAAACATGGGAATCACCCAGTTTGAGAATCTTTCCCACAGAGGGATCATTTGTTGTTTGTTCACACAAAAAGGACCTGGTTTAAATGTCAGAGCGTCTTGATTTCATTTCAGCTTACCCACAGCTGATTGTTAAAGAACTGCTCACTTAATCCCACAAACTATCATAGAATGTACCTCTGTTTCACTCTGAAAAGGTAAACACATGTACATTAGATGGTCGATAAAGCAGCTGCAGAGTAAACATTCAGCATACTCCCTTCTCTTATCCCTGAGCCTCCTTTCTTCACCTTCGCCTTCCCCTGTGTACAGATCCTCATTTTTCTCACACTCTCTCTCCCTCTGTCTTTTTTTTCTTCTTTCCCTCTCACCCAGTTAAGTTGTTTGTTTAGCATGCATACGTCAAAGTAATCCTCGGAGTGCCTGTGTGGATTAGACTTTCTGGCCGAGCTCCCACCTCTGCTCTCACCGACAGAGGATGGAGGCGGATCGACATCTGTGCATTTAAGTTAAAAAAAAAAACCTTGGATGTCCTGGCGACTGTCTCTGAGCATGAATCTTTAATGTTCAGCCATAGAAAACAAACATGTGAACGCACAACAAGCAGGAAATGAGGTGTCTAATTCATTGCACCGTGTCTGAAATCCATATTTCCCCAAAACAAACTAAAAAACATCCCTCAGGACTCAATATTAACTGTGATCATTTATTCTTTAAGCTTCTGTCAGGTGCTTTCATCGTGTGCCGATCTTGGGAAACCCTGTGGACTTAATGGTGCGTCTTATCTCTTTGCTGATCTCCTCTAATGCATGCCTAAGGAGTGCGTTATGACACAAAACCTCCACGTCATCTTTTTGTTTTTTGTTTTGATTGAGAACTCCTCACATGAGCTTTAAAAGAGGTTCAAGGTTTCTTTATTGGTACCTAGAAAGGTAAATGTGTTGTGCAGACAGGAGATTCGGGTGTTCCAATTATAAAAGAAGAAAAGACAAAGGACGCTCAAGACCCGCTGCCGGTCGCTGCATGAGCGTTCATTACATGTCATCAATAAAATGTATTTCAAAAAGAAATCTCTGAAACTCATGGGCGATGATCCACAAGATGGACAGCTTTCAGTATCAAAAAATCCCGGAGTGTTCTGTCTGTATCTGACTAACATGACTCAAAATTAAACACAAAGTCAGTAAAGTAGCTGTATGGGAAAACTGGGCCTAGTGTAAGTGTGCCCTTAAAGCCTCAGTGTTTTTCGTCCATATTTGAAATGCCCCTGCAATAACTGCATTACTAACTGACACTTTCTATTTTCTGTCCTCGTTGTCCATTGTGTTTCTTTTGTAAACAGACACATAAAGAAATGTGTAAATTAGATTTTGAAAGAGTGTTTTTTAGTATGGTGGTTGGTATTGAAGTCTAATTTCCCAAAAGTGAGGTAACCATAACTGATAATACCATGATTATTACATATTATGCACAGTGAGATGCGGTAAGTGAGTAGATGTGTTTTTCCCCTCAAAATGCCTCAGCTTATGAGGGGAAAACAAAACAACAAACAAACAAAAAGGACATTAAGGAAACATGCTATGTTGAAGTGCTGGCTTCTCTGACAACAATGCAGCAGCCAGTATGTCCTCCTTCTAACTTTAGATTCTGCTCCTGAATGCTCTGGATTTGTTTGGACCAGAGAAGGTAGGCGCTTTTAAGTCACCCCCACACGGCCGTTTTGGACGCCCCTCAATTTGTCAGATATGAGAGCAGTTATCAGGTCAACAGGTGTTGCAGCGATGGAAGCGGTCAAGAGAAGTGGTTCAGATAGAAGTGATTGTACCCGACCTAAAAAGCCTCTGCATGTTTCTAATAAGCTCCACGAGCAGAAACGTGCTCAAACTAGGATCAATATTGGAGATGCTTTTGAAAAATGGAGAGAGGTTAGAACACAGAAAGGTTTACAGACCCATGCAGAGCTGGATAAACACTGAAGCTTCAGAGTCCACCACATGGTGACCTGAGTGAGCATCGACTGTAGCGATGAGGGGGAGGGGAGACAGCTCTCTACAATGTTTAGAATTCAGACTGCAGTTTTAACCCATTTTAACCACTAGGTGTCAGAGTTACAGACTGCTCCTTTAATTTGAAAGTATAAACTCCACATTAAAGGGGCCCATTTTTATTCTGTGCACTACAGAGCTCACTGTCAGTCACCAGATTGTTACAGTGCTGTTTGTAGCTCTCGAAACGGCATGGGAAGCTTGTCACAATAAGAGTAAAATTACAACAAGTGACAATAAATAAGTTGTTCTTATATTATCATCGGCTAAAGTGAGTTTCGAAATATCTGCATATTCGGATATCGGCAAAAAATCCAATATTCTGCATCCCTAGTTTTTTGTCTTTTTCTAATAATGTGGATAAAATAGAATATTCTAGGACAGGTACACCTTTATACATAAGGGAAGTCGTGATCTGCTCATACACTATCTGTGTTTTTATCACGCAGAAAAGAACCAGACAATAATATTTGCGTTCTCAGGACCTCAGCCTGGAATCTGTTGCAGAATGACTTCAAACTCAAAGAGCTGGTGTCCTTCTAAAATGAAAAACTTGTTAGCAGATTCTAAAGGCTGTCGATGTTTTAAGCCTGACTGTCTCCCAGATTTGACTCATAGATGTTTTTTCCTCTTTTAATGCATGTCGTACTATGTCTATCTTTGGGTCTCTGTCTGTAACTTTGTGTTTTTTTTCCTGCTGGCTGCCTCGGCCATGCAGGATCTCTCTTGGAAAAAGGATTCTTAATCTCAGTATTATAGGACATACCTGGTTAAATTAATCATCTTAAGGGGGGTCAGGGTCTCTGGATTTGGTCCGTTTGCCTGCATTTGCCTTCCTCTTGATTTCACACAGACACAATGGTGATTTAGAGATCTCCAAGAGTGTGTGTGTGTGTGTGTGTGTGTGTGTGTGTGTGTGTGTGTGTGTGTCTGTGTGTGTGTGTGTGTGTGTGTGTGTGTGTGTGTGTGTGTGTGTCTGTGTCTGTGTGTGTGTGTGTGTGTGTGTGTGTGTGTGTGTGTGTCTGTGTGTGTGTGTGTGTGTGTGTGTGTCTGTGTGTGTGTGTCTGTGTGTGTGTGTGTGTGTGTGTGTGTGTGTGTGTCTGTGTGTGTGTGTGTGTGTGTGTGTCTGTGTGTGTGTGTCTGTGTGTGTGTGTGTGTGTGTGTGTGTGTGTGTGTGTGTGTGTGTGTGTCTGTGTGTGTGTGTGTGTGTGTATGTGTGTGTGTGTGTGTGTGTGTGTCTGTGTGTGTGTGTGTGTGTGTGTGTGTCTGTGTCTGTGTGTGTGTGTGTGTGTGTGTGTGTGTCTGTGTGTGTGTGTGTGTGTGTGTGTGTGTGTCTGTGTCTGTGTGTGTGTGTGTGTGTGTGTGTGTGTGTGTGTGTGTGTGTGTCTGTGTGTGTGTGTGTGTGTGTGTGTGTGTGTTTGTGTGTGTGTATGTGTGTGTGTGTGTGTGTGTGTGTTTGTGTGTGTGTGTGTGTGTGTGTGTGTGTCTGTATGTGTGTGTGTCTGTGTGTGTGTGTGTGTGTGTGTGTGTGTGTCTGTGTGTGTGTGTGTGTGTGTGTGTGTGTGTGTATGTGTGTGTGTGTGTGTGTGTGTGTGTGTGTGTGTGTGGTGTGTGTGTGTGTGTGTGTGTGTGTGTGTGTGTGTGTGTGTCTGTGTGTGTGTGTGTGTGTGTGTGTGTGTGTGTGTGTGTGTGTGTGTGTCTGTGTGTGTGTGTGTGTGTGTGTGTGTGTGTGTGTGTAGCCTCACCTTTCGGATGCTCCCGCTGTGACTGCCGTCTGTGGGTAACGTTAACGGCAGGTCGTCATCCGAGGCTCCGTCTGACAGAGACATCTCAGACTCTCTGTGAAGGGTGATGGCAACATTTATCAACTCACCGTTCAGTCAAACTTGTAAAAAAACAGCCTTTAGTTTAAAAACAATTCCCTTAATGTGAGATTCACTGAATAAAAATGCCCAAAACGAGCCGTTAAGTTAGCTAACGGTTACGAGCCACTTGCCTTGTCGCAGGTTCCTCCATCGTGAAACAACAACAAAAGCGGCCAAAAAGCTCCTACATCTCTTCCAACTTTGTACAGCTTACAAGTCAACACAAGACTCCAACAGTATGTTAAAAGTAAAAAACTTTTACAGCCCTCTAAACAAGCTAGCTCCCACTTGTTTCTTATTTCAATTTGATACCACAGCCACCTCCTCCGCTCCGCTCCCCTGTTTCTGAGCTTACCCAGGGAGGCGGGGCCCTAACGGGCAGGAGCCGGCCAATCGCGTTGCTGGTTTAAAGACGGACAGATGTTTTGACCAATCAAAAGGAAGATTAATACCGAATGACAACTCGAGCTGACCAATCACAAGTTTCTCGAGGCGTCCCCCTACTACTCCGCGGGCCGGTTGCCACGGCAACGTCAGGGCTGTGGCTTGTGTGTGTGTGTGTGTGTGTGTGTGTGTGTGTGTGTGTGTGTGTGTGTGTGTGTGTGTGTGTGTGTGTGTGAGTGTGTGTGTGTGTGTGTGTGTGTGTGTGGGCTCCAAAAGGATAGTACAGCAGGCTCCTCCTCCTCCCCGTGGGAACGAAAACATGAATTGAAATGGTTGTTTTTAATTTGTTTTATACGGAGATTCCGATGGTTATACTTTTCTGGATATAATACACTTCCAGTTAAGGGAAAAAACCATCTGCAGGACTTTCTACAGTTCAGAAAGTAGAAATTAAAATGATAAATCTCACTTTTTAGCGCAGAGTAGGCCTATCTATGGCCTATTTAATGTTTCAGACCTCACTGTGCATCCAAGGTTACATTGGCTATGGTTTAGGATTTAAATTATCCTTTGAAAACCTAAGAAAGGATTTTAGGGTTAGGTTAGGCTCTTAAATTGTGATATATGGTTTATATATAATAATAATAACTTTATTTAAATAGCAACAAAGTGCTTTGACATACAGCAAAAGCATTACAAAAGAACAAAGTAAAAGAAACCATGAACATAAAAACAGCAAGAATATGGACAACGCAAAATAACCAGAACAACAAAAGAACCCAACAGCAAAATAAAACCCAACAAACATATTTAACACAACCATCATAAGAAGCCAGGCAGCACAAGCTGAGAGCAACAGGACCACAGATTTCAGATGACATAAGAAACTAAAAGCAAATAAAAATAGATAACAGCAATAAAAATGGTGATAAGGATTAAAAAAATGATAGTAAGTAAGTTGTGGTAAAAATGAATAAGAGCCATAAGAGCAGTTAAGGGAAATAAAACAGTAACTTGAGATAAAAGAGACAAACAGGGAATAATAAAATCAACAGCAGGATGCAGTTATTAAAAGAATAGTTGGAGATATGACAACATTGAGAATAAGTAGAATTAAGACGACATCACATAAAAGCAAGTCTATATATATCAAACAGAGTGTTTTGAAGAAGAGATTTCAAAGAATTGACTTATTGTTGTGAGTATATATTTCTTCCTGCTTGTTTACAAAGTCACATCCTGTCCTGGAACAGTTTAATTTAAAATCAAACTGGGACCAAAGTAAGCTGCGTCCATCCTGCTCGCCCCCGTGCCGTTTAAATAGAAACACATTTACACTTCTTTTTCTTTTAGCTATACGCCTACATTTGCATGTCTCTCTGTGCACATTACACACGTTGAGGTCATTTGAATGATCTCAGATTGAAAGTGTTTTGTGCTCGGTTCACAAAATTGTAATGTAAGGACGTTTAGATAGAATTTAGTGGATTAAAAATGCTCCATGATCAAACGTAACTCCTTCACAGCTCAATGTTGTTGGACAGACTGGTTTAGGCATAATTACATTCAATTGTTGTTGTTGTTGTTTTTGTTTTACACGTTTCTGTTTGTTGTTTCTGTCAGGCAGAAGGTTGCTGCTCCTCATCAGCGCTCCGTAATCTATCAGGCCATATCTCCATATGGCAGATCCTCCTGTCCCTGTCACTGGCCAAGCAGTTAATTCATTTCCTAGAAATCAATAACTGTGTTCACACAGGCAGGCAGGCAGGCGGTCAGCTGCAGCTCCCCGCTGTTTAACTTTTTTGGCCGCAACCTTGAACTTTAGTGCTCCTTTAAGACCTGCTCACCTGCGGGGATTTTGCAGGACACAGGTGATGTTTGGATGGATTAGCCAGCATTTGATTGTAGACGGACCTCGATGCAAGTTAGAGAGAGAGAGGGAAAAAAACACAAGTTGAAGACTGAGTTTGACATGCTCGTTGCCCGTAGGTGTAAATGTGAGTGTGGTTGGTTGTCATGATGGATGGATGTGATTTTCGGGACATTTGGTCAGAGAAAATCAAAGAAATACAATCATTTGATGTGTTTTGTTCTATCATTAACCAGGTCCAGTACTTTACTGTGTTTTCATTGTGTGATGAGTTCAAATGCTCCAGCAAAAATCTTTATGTTTTTATGTTTACCTCTACTTCTGGTGTACGGTATTAAAGCAACAGTTAAGCTGATGTTGTCACTCGATATTGACAAACTATTCACTTAGCTCCAAGTAAAACTAACAGTATAAATGATGCTGTTACTATTCTGTATCAGTGTAATTTTTTAACACTCCTTTCCAAGTCAATCACTTTAATATTGGATCATTATTACCGACAGATTAACAAGTAATCCATCATTAAACTAAGTCCAGATCACCTGCAGGGATTTGTTTTTTGGACAGAGGTCCTGTGTGTGTGTGTGCATGTGTGTGTGTGTGTGTGTGTGTGTGTGTGTGTGTGCGCTGAGATTAACCAGCTGTATTTGAAGATGCAGAAAAAAGGTGTTAATGAGTGTTAGTGTTCATAAGATGGAAGAATATGAATGAAAGTTGACTGTTTTATGAATGTTATAGTTCGTTTTTAACGACTGGCTCCTTATTTTGAACGTGATTTCTGATCAGTTAAAATGCACATTTTACACATCCTCATGTCTAAAAGTTCACTTCTCTGCTTGAATATCAGTTTAATTTCCAAAACTTAAACTTGCAGCTGCACCCGCCTCTGCAAACTAAAGAGTGTCAGGTTAGGAAAGTGTGAAGATAAAGGTGCACTCATTAGAAGCTCAGAGCAGGCGTTTCCCATACAGAGGCTGGGTCAACCACCACTCTGCGACCATTTAGTGCAGGTCGTCCCCCACTCTCTCCCCCACATGCACTGTCTCTCTTCAGCTGTCCAATCATGTAAAGGGAAAAAGCAAGACAAATAATAATAATCTAAGACAGAGTGTGATATCGACAGTCACATTTGCAGGAATACAAACACAGGGTTCTGCAGAGAGCTCAAGAAGTCTCCAAAATCATAAGTATTCTGCTGCCTGGCCACAAGAGGGCGCTTGTACCCTTTTCAAATCAGTAAATATCTCACTGTAAAAGGCATGTCCAGTCAAGTTTGGGTGTTTTAACATATTTTAACCATATTATATAATATTTTATTTAGAGGAATACTCAAGAAAAGCTGCCGAATAAATGATTTCAACTTCAACTTAAAAGATCTGAGAACTTCTTCCCCGCTGATTTAACTCTTATGACTTCATGTAGTACAAAGAAAAGCATTATTTGATCGGAAAAACAACTTGTTAACAAACCTCTCACTGAATAATTAGGATGGTAGCATGCTCACTGAGCTGCAGGTATAGGAGCTGCAGTCCTTTCTGATGCCTGCAGACGCTCAGGTGTTGAGGAGCAGGACAGTCAGGACGAAGCTGCTCAGGTGTCAGGAGGTCTCACTGAAGCGGGCAAAGAGGGGGAAGGTTTTCTTAATTTTTTTGGAACAGATGGTTACCTGAGTGTGCAGGGTCGCTCTCAGTCCTTTCATTAGCTCCTGTGTCATGAACTTCTTTAACGGGAGGGGAAGTGGACAGCGGATCAACCACAGGAATGTGGGGCGTCGGAAATACTCCAGACAGAGTCGGTACTTTGAGGTGATTAAATATTGAGACACGTGTGTGCTGTCAAATTAAATACATCTTTGTCCAGACGTCAACCTGCAGGAGGGATTTTCATTCTGTTTGCTTTGTTAGGTAGATTGACTGAACCCTGAAGGAACTACTGAGAACAGACTCGTCAGAATCCGATCCTTAAAGTATCCTTATTGAAGATATAACTCAAGATTTTCATCCCTCAAAACAATAATAAAAAACGTTTGTCTTATGCTGTTATCACAATAAAAATAAAAAAAACATTGACTGGCATGCTAACGGATCTTAATGGATGCACCAGGAGCTAGACGCTAACCTTAGCATGCTAACCTGCTCTCACTGGTAATGCTAACAAGCTGAAGTAATAATCTGTAATTCTTACTGTCTACCAGACAAGGTAGAATAGCTGCTGATCCTATTTTTGGAGACATAAAGGATGCTGAGGATAAGGGAAAACCTTATGCAAACATGAAAACGACAAGAACATCTAGACCAAAGGGAAGTGCTTTTGCCACAAGTGTAGCACCTTTTGCAAATGAAAAGACACATGATCATGGTAAAAACTCGTACTCCTCTACATGTTACACAGGCAGTGCATTTCAGAAACCATGTGTGTACTGTGAAAAACAACATACATTGGCAGAATGTCACAAAATCAGAAATCAGCCTTACAAGGAAAAACTTGATTTTCTTAAAGGCAAAGGTTTGTGCTTTGGATGTTTGACATCAGGACATTTAAGTAAAGACTAGAAAAAGAGCTTCATGTGAGTTTTGTTCAAAGAAACACCCAAGCATGCTTCATTTCACAAAATAAGAAGATAATGAAAAGGTTGACAGCAGTCAGAAAAACATCACAGAAAAGACAACAGCTGATGAATCAACACACAGCTCAGGTGGGACCTGTGGAGCCAC